CAGGCCCCAGTGCCCTCACCTGTGTGCGGGGGTGGGGGGAGCACAGCTGGAGGGCTGGGCCCCGATTGGCCGATATCCCATGTCATGTGACATTGTGCTCACCATATAAAGGCAGGAGAGGGCCAGGAGGGGCTGCCACTTCTGGGAGTGTGGCTGTGGGGCCTTTGTGTTTGGGATCGCTGGCCGGGAGCAGGCGGGTGGTGAGCAGCTGTACTGTACATTACCTGCTGATACTGCTGTCAGTGTGTTATTCTGTCACTGTTATTAAACTGTTTTTATCTCAACCCGCGAGTCTCCCTTTGCCCCTCCCATTCCCTCCCCATTCCCAAGTGGGGGGAGGGTGGGTGAGCGACTATGTGGCATTTAGCTGCTGAGTAGGCTCAAACCACAACTCTATATAGGATTACATAAATACACAGATACATCGTATGGGATTGTCTGCTTGGAGAATATCTTAAGCATAAAACAAAAAAAAAATACATTGTTCTTAAGTGTTCTGTTAAATAACAATACAGTTGTTTTCTCTTAATTTGTTTAGCATCATGTAGACCAAAAATATTTCCTTTATTTCATCTACGGGAGACCAAGAATCAGATGGCGATACTCAAGAGTAACATGGGTCCATATAACTTAATTTCTCCTGCTGGTTGGCTGCTGATATGAAAATATTTGTTTCACCTTTGTTCAGTACTTCTAAATAGATTGAAAATATTTAAACTACCATTCTCCTATTTAGAGTTATGTATTTCCTTTAAGATGTACATTAATAAACTAACTCATCCTTCCTCATCATCAAAGTGATTACAAGTATCTGACCATTGCATGCATACACAATAACTGACTCTTACCTGAACATATCTCTCCAGGATCACTTACACATGCTATTTACACTGCATATCTATCTATAAAATTTCTATATATTCCCCTCCACAAAAATACATGTATGCATAAAGGCAAGTGCAAAGATTGAATACCTTTTTTCTAATACTGTTCTTTAGCACAGTACAGGGATCAGGTGCCTAAAGACCATCCTGTACCTGTGTGCTGGCAGATACACAAAAGAACATCACAGATTATTTACTGATACACCTCAGAGAACTGCAGGAAGATAGGGAGATTAATCCATCTTTTTCCAGTAAAAAAGTTCTTAATTGTGTGAAACACCCCCTCCCAAATAATCGCATCTAAGGGGAGCATTTATTTAAACCCTAAAATCCTCAAAACTAATACATGTTCTGGAAATTTTATTTTCTCTGTAACATTAGTATAGGTAGGTTGATACAACCAACCACATCTTAATAAACCAGATGGACTTTCAAATATCCAACACACAAAAAAAACAGCCCAGTGGACATGTCATGTAGATAAAATCCCTCACAGTGGTATTTTCAAGCAGTGAATGGGATATAAATTCTCAAATAGAGGTCTAAAGATGTCATATGTGAATAATCTATGAAGGACTGACTCAGCCCTCCTGACAATAACAGATTCAAAGGCAGAATTATCCTCAAAATCACATTGGAGATTTTCAGGAAAGAGTCGAGGAGTAAAGACTGAGAACACTTGCATTCTTCTTTCCTCTTCTGAATCTATTATAGATGAATGACAGTCTTCAGCAAATCAATCATCACACCATTCACAGGTTTTAGATTGATATAAGAACACCTAAAAGTTATTTTTAAAGGGCAACATGGAGTCAAGCTCTGCAGGTTATACCATGGAAAATGTAGGCACGAATTAAATGCCTTTGCCACAAGGGAGAATATTTATGCTTGCTGAGACTTCATCTTTCTTTTGGCAATAGGACAAAATAGATCAAAGAATATCTAAGTTTATATTATTCCTATTAGTTCATATGAAAGGATCATCATTGTTTTCTATAGATCATTAACAATGCTGAGTTCGTGATCATTAGTTTTATAAACAACCTCATCTAAGTTATTTATCATGAGCGCTGGGGAACATCAGAAATGTCTTAATGTTGAAAGTGACTTTGGATTTGGTGTACCTGCATTTCAGATGAATGGAAATACAATGAATCTTATTTTAAATATTCTATAATATTCCTCTAAAATGATCTTGCAGACCATACTTCATCTGTATGCTGTTCAGACTACAGCAGAATGAAATAACACAAGTCAAAGTCACATAACTATCTTATGTATAGGTACTAGTTTACAGTCATATCCCCACACATACTCCAACACATCATTCCCAGCATATAAGAGGAAATTTTAAGAATAATTACTGTTTAGTATTTTTTTTTCATCTTCACTGCTTGGGAGGACAAAAATCTGGAGCACTGCAGAACAGAAACTGTCAGGGTGATGAGACGAAGGGTTGACCTATTCCTGCACAGTGAAAGATCTGAGTATCAGAGATTTTATAGGAAGGTGTGAGGAAAATCTATTTCAGACTAGTTTCAAGTACCTTTTCAGACCCATCTCAGGCAGGCTGGGATATGAAAGGTCAGCGTGTAAAAGGGAAGAGATCTAGAAGGAGGCCAGGAAAAGAGGCATCCTAGCAGCATGCTGCATCATGTGGGATCCCCTCCAGTGACCTCTGCGCCACCTCGCTGCTGCACACGGAGATTTCTCACTTATTTGTCTTAACTCTATGTTTACATTAATGCCTTCAGTAACTGCACAGAGGATGGCATCAGACTAAGAGGGGCTCGAAGTCATTTAAGTTTGTATCAGAATTTTAAAGCATTTTGAAAATCAATTTTACCATATTTAATAGAGATAAATGGAAAATACTATACTTGTGAAGGAGAAATAAAACACACACAACCAAAAGGTGGAACAACTAACCACAGAACAACAAAGAGGATATATGGGATCTCAGAACTTGAATACAAGAAAGACACCAAGGAGGAAAAACTACCTAATTCTTGTGTGTTAAGAGTGTCACAAGCAGCTCACAATGTGTTATTCTTCTAATCTGCTGGTGCTGTTGAGGCCTCTAAGGGAATGCTACCTACTTCTGGATATGGTATTTTGAGAGAATTTACGCAAACTGGAGAGTGTGCAGAACAGACTGAAAAAAAAAGGAAGAAGTTGGGAAAATCTAAGGTTGAAATAACTGGATTTGTTGAGGCTAGACTAAGAACAGTCTGTAAGATTATACAGAGAAGGATGTTCACACATTCTGATGTTGTCAGAGTTAATAAAAAGCAAAAATTCTCCCCAAGACACCATCCCCTTTGCCCTCACCCATCCGTTCTGGTTTTCATACGCAATGAAATGGGCTTATAATGGGGAGTAATCTTATCACTTCAATGTGGAATGTAAATATTGTACTGTCTGCAAATGCGTATAATAGGCTACAATGCAATTAAAGAAACCAGAGTGAAAATTTATAAAAATCTCTAACAAATTTTTTATAACAGATGCATTTGCTGGGAAAGACATTATTCACTGAATGCAGTTAAAGTATAGTAAATTAACTTTGAGAAAAATCACAAGACTTTTCAATAAAAACAGAAAATAGCAACGCTCTTAAGACAGCAGGTGGTAAAACGAGATACAGGAATGTTCCCCCATATAAAGAAATAAAACAAAACAGAGCCGTGTGATTTTACAGCTCTTTTCCAGCAGAAAAACATCCCTAAAGGACTCAGAAAATAGGCTCCTAAATTCACTCATATGGAGTACCAGAGATTGAAAGGGAAACTTTTAAATACATTACTCAGAAAAACTAGAAAAGGGATGGTGCTAATTCTTAAAGAGCAGATTTTTTGCTTGAGAGTATAAATGCAATTTGGGGGAAAGCTGCGACATAGGGTGGACCACCGACTGATACAGGATATTTCATTACACCAGGCAGTTTACATCTGAGCAATTTGCTCCTGAATCCTTAGTGGGACATCCTTCAAAAGCACTAAGAACCTGTCAGTGGGGCGTAGAGACCCAAATCACTTTGAAAGAAGGGAGTGTGGGTTTTTAAAATACCACTCATAGCAAAACTGTCAAAAGTCTCTTGTGAAAACTGGAGGTAAAAGCCTGAGGAGCCTACAGGGAGGTAATGGCTGCTGGATACCTCTAGAAAGCGGTATCCACTGTTTTTATCATAAGCGATTCTAATTCATGCTGTCGGCTGAGGAGACTGGCAGGATGAATGGCCAACTGGCACTTCTGCCAGCGACAGATAAGGCAGTGCCGGCTCGGAAGGGAAGTTTTTTCATCTGTGCTGGTGCCTTTTGCCATGTACAATTCCACCTAGATGGAAGACAGCAATGAAGTACAAACCTCTCGGTCATGTTTCCACAGTCAGGGAGCCATCTGCAGTTCAGTGTCCCACTTCAGCAACTCGTCAAGAACAGGACACAGCTCAGGAATGTTTTCTGCAAGGTCCTTGCTCTGTTCCGCAGGTGCCTGTGCAGCTCCCTGCCCCTACATCCTCTAATCTGCCAGTGGAAACTACCTGCCTACAACTGGAAAAGCCTCACTAAAGCAGAGTTCATCTTTTCTGGACTAGATCAGTACTTCACTCCACAATAAGACCAGGAGCAACAGCTAGATTAAAACATGAAGATGGGAGGAGTTAGATCCAGAATATGAACAAATGCAGCTGGCAAGCATTAAAGATAGTTCAGGCATTCATACAGAAGTTACAAAACGGCCTTGTCCACCATGGAAGAGGGTGCAGGAGATGCGGGCCTGAAGCCTCCTCCACCTTTGCACGGCGATGCCCAATTCACAGTGTCACAGCACGCAGCTGTACTCCAGTGCGGCTCAGGCATCTGAAGTGATGCTGAAAGGGTAATAACCCCGTGCAGTGCTATCAGTAATCCTTCCCAGAGGTTAACAGCGGGAGGCAAGTAGGTTGAGGCGTTTACAAAAGGAGACTGTGAAAGGCAGAATCAACAGCAGAGTTGGCCTTTTAGTCAGCGTTCGCTTTCAGCAGCTATATTATCAGACAAGAATGAGAGAGGAGTGAGAGAAGCCTGGGGAGGAAGGAGAGGGGAGAACTGTGGAAAGAGAAGGCAAAACACCTACCTGACAGGTGCTCCCCGGGACTGAGCGGGCTTCAGCATAACGGTGATGGTGGTGTCAGTCTCATTCAGGGGGGAGTCCGTGTCATATTCAGGCATTGATGGTGCTATAGCAGAACGAAGAGCAACATGTTAGTTACACACCGGTTACTGCCTTTGGTAGTGATGACAGCATAATATTAACATTTGTTGGATACCACTTAACATTTCTCAAATGAAACATCAAAATGTACCCCAATATTATGACCAAAATTGACAAAACTGCTTAAATATTTGTACACTATTTTCCTATTAAAATTAAAGATGAATTGGACACCCAAATCTTCAAGCTGGCTTTGAAAATCCTATCTTGAATTTTTAAGATTTAGTAATCCTTTCACATGAGATCATTCCTTCAATTTTAAAGGTGAAGAGAGAAAACTGCATGGTCATTATAAAAGACCACTTATTCTAAGTGAATTGGTAGCAAAGCTAAGAACAGCACCCAGGAAACCTGGCTCTTGTTCACTGTTCTGGTCAATGGATAAGACCTCCCACATCTCAGACAGAGTTTTTAATACACAGACTTAAGCTGTGTCTCCTTGAGTAGCTTGAGGTTGTGTTACAAAGCACAAAAGACAAAAAGAGAGGAGCACAAACTAGCCAGGTTATTTTACTACTCAAACCCATGACATTTTACCCCAGTGCTTTAGTGATGTTGAATCAACAGGCAGCTGCACAGCTTCCTACAGCATACTCAGGCAGTACCCAGCCATGGCATCCCCATAGTTTTGCTGACATGTTCCCCAAAGGAATACAGAAACCCACTGAATATTCATACCTAGCCAAAGCCTAATTTCTACTTCTGCTTTGTTATCTTCTATTATGATCATTTCATGAAAGTAGGATTGCTTTCCTTGCGAAACACATTTTACTTCTTATATTACTTCTTCCTTCCTCAATAGCAGACAACTGTTTGGGACAATTTTTACTGCAGAAGAACTGAAGAGATCATGAGATCAGACCAGCATCAAATTTATTATAAAGATGCAAGTTTTGTTGAAATATCCTTATAAAGCAAACAGAAGAATTCACACAAATAGTTCACCTGCAATTCACAAGAGCAAGCTGCATTGCGGGGGATTCCATATTTAATCCTCTCACAGCAATTTCCACTGCACTTCTGTTTATAATCAGGATTTTTATCTAAATGCCTGAAAACTGTCAAGAATGGTGGTTGCTATTATCAGCTCAGCTACTGACTTCCCTGTCAATAAGCTGGCAATGAGTTCAGAATGAATGCCAATTCCTTAACAAGGATTTCTCTGAAAAAGGTGCTTTGTATCAAGGGGAAGCAGTGTGAGTCATTTAAGGAAGATGCATGTCACCAGCTGTCTTCTATAACACAGATCACTGTAGTCTTTGGAGATGCCACAGAAAGAATTGTTCAGCACCTGGTCTGGTCAGAAGGGATAGTGCTGAGCACAATTACAGAAAGGTTGCGAGGCCAGTCTGGACACCAGAAGCAGGCTGGGCACTGCCTTCGCAGGCTCCATCATCATCCTTTGAAGCAACCTCTCCTTGCTTACCTGCTGTGCTGCACTGGTGCCACTAAATTGTTTCTGATATTTTAGCTAGCCTGGATGTCTCCTTCTGGCTGTGCATGAGACCTGTTTAGTTATCTTCTGTGTAAAACACTGCACCTGCCACACAGAATTTACAGTCTTTCTTTCAGACACCATATAGGTAAGAAGTAAATGCAAGAAACATTGGTGTTGGCAGGGCTAGCTAACAGTACTGATTATAATTCAATGATCAGAGTCTGTATTAATCACAAGACATTGAAATAAGATACAGTACTTTTCTTGTGTACTCAACACAGAACAGTTACAGAGCACCTCAATGAACCTACAATTGACAGCGATCTCTCTAAAATAGGAAGCACTGCTTATCAATTTAATGCCTATTTCACAAGATCCCAGACCTGCCCAAAGAGAAGCCCTCAGGAGTTCTGCCATTTAGTCGTGATTAAGACATTAAACAAATGTGTCCATCCATATAAACATACACACTCACACATTGCTACAGCACAGATGTCTTTTCATTTTAAAATACGTGTAGTCTTATAAGAAAATTCCTGTCAATGCAAAAATCTTTCTTCTTACTAACCTTGGATTGCCTCTTAGAGCAAGTTTTAACAGTAATTTCCAAATTACACGTATAGGACTTGACCATGCAGTGAGGTAATTTAATGCCAGAGACTACCCTAATGACTGCATGGACTCTGTGTCTACCTATTGTGAACCAGATGTTTGGAAGATGGGAAAAGAAAAAGACGATAAACCAGGCTCAGTGTGCATACAGTTAATAATCATGCAGGCTTCGAATACACTTTTGAGCACTCACTGAATAATAAAATGCAAAGAAACTGAATCGGAGGGAAAAAGCACTACTATTACTGTGCTATTTTATTTCTCTGGTCACAAGTGAACAGCGTGCATGCTGTGCCTTCCCTTCTCAGCAGGGCTGCAGAAGCCTGAACAGTCTGTGGAGCTCTAAGGATAGCTAATGGCTTTACTTCAAGTGGCTGAGACACGGGCTTTTGTGCTAAATGTTAAGGGTTCAAACCCTGCTGACTGTTAGTGGAGGGAATGGATATATTTTGCTTCCTTAAAATTTACACTGTCACTTACTGCTAACAGCTTATTTTTATTAACCAATTTTGAAATAGGGCAGTGGAAAATATGCGCTGTTGTGCACACTCTTCTGTGGCACCCAGCCATAATTTCAAGCATTACAAGTGTCCTGAATGTCCCAAATATTTATTTTGGCTTTACTGAAAAAATAGTTAAGGTATTCTAAAAAATGACAGTTTAAAACTCTGTTAGAGAACCTATTTTAGTGCTATCAATTAAATGTTAAAATTGAAGTCTACATATGTCTGCTCAATAACATCTCTACCATCCCTTTATCTATCTTTTTTTTGATAGCTAGACAGTTTCCTTTTTTTTTTTTTTTTAGACATACATTCACCTTCTCTTTCCAATGCCTCTTGACTTTAGTGCCTTTCATATATCTGTCTGCCTACCCCAAGCCCTCCCTCTGTGCTTACTCAGAAAGAAAACATAAAAACAGCTTTCCTCTATTTTTAGTCTCCTTGCACTATTATTCAATTACTTCATTACATCCATTTTGGTGCATTCTGAAAATAAAAGCCACATTATTGAAGGAGCTTCCCCAGCCACACAGATAATACTAACAATTATTGTAGGGATAGTTCATTTGTAAAACTAATGAAGGTTCTCATTTAAAATGCTCCACAAAGATATTCATGGATATTTAAGATATCCACAAATTAACCACTGCTTTTGTAACCCGAGCAAACACAGATACTGGATTGTGGCTGTTTTAAACATTTGCCTTTTGAAACTTGTAGAGGAGACACTGAACTGGATACCTTTTTATTGTTTTATGCATCAGCTGCGGGTCTAAAGAACAAAGCCCTAGAAAGCTCTTTTTTCTTCTTCTCCGAAGCAGTACCTGAAATCTTAGTTGCAATCCGTGTTGTGATGGGTGGCCCAAAGCCCTTGACTGTGCTGGCTTTGATGGTGAATGAATACGTAGTCCCTGGGTATAATCCTACAAAGAGGTGATGTGTTTCATTCCTTAGTTTGAAGACTTTCCCTCTTTGGCTGGACAGGTCAGCACTGGGATCCAGAGACCCAACGGCCTTGTATGTAATCTGTAAATGAAGAACAAGGAAAGTAAGGTGATAAGGGGCCTGCTGCACCTGGCCTTCCCCTGCTCCCCTCTTGCCATCTCTTAAGACTAGACATTGAGAATACAAGGAGAAATATTATTTCAGTATCTCTAGTGAGCGGTTCTGTGTTTGGATGCTGTCAAACAAACATGACAATATTTCCAAGGCTTTACTCAGGAAAACACTGATTTATTCTCTCCACTAAAACCTCAGCACGTGCTGATTTACAACAAAAGATGCAAAGAATTTCTTTTTGTTCCACATCTCAGAACTTCTGCAGCCAAACAAGAGCACACAGTGCAACCAGCAGAATTTTCATGAGAATTTCCCTTACAATCCCCCCACAGCATATGAAAACTTTTGGTGTAAACATGGATACGTTTTCCATCAAATGGTTTTCTCATAAGGCCGCTGAAAACAATGGGAGCCTTTTACTGACAACAAAGGTTTTGGAAAACTTTTCCTGTGCTAAAGAGAATAATACACTGAAATGAAATGTTATGTTTAAATGATATAAATATCATTAAATCTTTACGCAAAAGCCCTTTTCTCTGAGCTTGCAAGCCAGCTTCCCCTGCCATTTCCTTGCCCCTGTTTTGAGCCTCAGTTTGCAGGTGCACAGGCGGTACCACGCCTGGTTTTCACCTAAGAGAGTAAGTTCACCAACACACCGGCTGCCGGTGCTAACACACACTTCGAGGCACCAAGCTGAAAGCACACCTCTGAAATTCTGCTTGAGCCCCATTATGCTTATCCATGGCAACTCTGTTGATATACAGACACCTGCAAGTAAAACTCATGACTTATTTACCAGCCAATTCCTTGCCCGCGTTCCAAATTCAATCCAAAAGCAGCTCAATTTCAACTAAGCTGTCAATATAATATAACGTGCTCCACTGCTCTCCTAACCTTTCCTGATATTATGGGATCCTTGCTTATTTGTAATGAAACACTATGAATAAATCAATGTATGTTAATACACGAAGTCTTCAATTTTTCATGAAGGACTCCACGAGAATCGAATTCCCAGCTTTGCTAAAAGAGCCTTTGAAAATTTTTAAGTCGCTTGCTTTATGACAGGAGGAAAATGTTGTATTTTGAGGAAAAATAAATATACAGTGTTTAAAAAGGAGGGATTTAATAATAACAGGATAAATAAGAGACAAAAACTGATGCCACTTACACCAGAGAAGGGTGTGAGTGTGTGATTCTTACTATTTGGACAGAGAAAAACAATTTAGACAGAGGTGACACCCAAGACGAGGCAGCATAACAGAGAAGGGCCGTGAATTACACCAGGCCCACAGAGCAGCAATAATTACAAAATGAGAACTCTTAAAGGAATTATAATTAAACAGCTTGCAGGTGATTTCACTGAAAACCGACTAATTTTTCCAGGAATTACAACCTGGTTTTAAATTTTTATTACTTGCCAGAAACCTGGGAAAGAGGGAGATCTTAGCACAGTGGTCATTAAAAAAAAATTAAATGCAAGGAGGAGAAATCTTTACGCTCACTCCTTTTCCTTCAGTAAGGTGAGGACCATGCAATGCAGCACGACACAGGACAATACTTTGACAGTTCATATTTCATCAAGGTATTTCAAGGCAAGTGAATCTGTGTAAAAACAGCATCGGAGTTAGAGTGAGCATCAAAGACCTTAATTTAAGAGACATGTCCCAGTCAATGCCATAGCCAAATCCGGAAAGAAAAGTTTATTTAATCTGTTAGATAGGAATGAACCAATGCAATTTGCATTCCAAAGAGGAATCAGCAAAACAGGAGTTTGGGAAACAAAAAGGAACTTCCTACTGCTGGGCCACTGAAAACCATATGCACAGGATGCCCAGGCAGTAGCCTATACGAAATCAGTGGTATTTATTTTCAAGCGCATTATACAAAAGGCTATAAATAGAAGTGGAAGGGGCGCTTGTCCTTGATCTCCACATAAATAAAAGTATTCACCTACCTTCTCCAGTTCTAAAATCACTGCAAAAGGAGTTATTATTCTTCGTTAAACAAACTATCCCCATAAGGGAAATAGAGCTAGAAAAGCTTTTGAGAGAAAAAAAAAAAATCACAGATTTTAAAAATAACAGTCTTTCTATTTTCTGTTGACTATAGCAGAGAATATGTGAACAAGGGACCTTAAAACATCTGGGGTCAACTCACAAGAAGTGGGGAAGGAGAAAATTATACTTGAGAGACAGTACTTCCACAATTTGAGATTTTCAGAATTTCAGTCAATTTTCAGAAAGACTGCACACTCAATTCAGACTTCAGTATTTCCCAAAACTTTATTCCAGCATATATAAACTACAGTAGAGAGATTCATGGCATAGCCAAATAGCAAGATTATTGTTTTGGCAGCAGGCTCTATTCTAACAGGTATGTACCTTGTTAAACCGGGTGATGTGCAGACATTCGGAGAAAGCAATCCTTGTCCCCAAAACATAACATTTAACTTTAATACATGAACAATACCTGGATGCAACCCAGAGAATAGGAGAATAATAGTACAAAACTGTGCATGTGGTCCAGTTGCATTCAGTCCATAAGCAGAAGTATTTAAGGCACTGCTAAGCGTACGGTGCCCCCAATATTGCTAGTTACCAGCTTACTGCTCTCATCAGAGTTAGTCTTGAGCTCTTCTTTGCTTTCCACAAGAAGAGATCTGAATGACTGAAGTGGTGAGGAAAGTATATATGGACACAGCCAGGAGAGCCTATGGGCAGTGTGCCCATCTCTGCTGATGAGTTTTGCCATGACCACGATAAGCTGGTGTTCTCCGAGTCTCCATTTTGCCATTTATAAAATGAGGGCTATTACACTCCTCTACGCAAACATTTCTGTGGTTGAGGGATTCTATGGATTTCTGTAATTGCTGAGTGCTGATGGTTAAGCAGCAAAAACACCGGTGAAACATGGAGCAGCCCTGAAAACTGAGCCTTCTATTTGGAAAAGGAGGCAAATTCTCTTCCAGCTCAGGACCAAAAAAGAAGACTATTTCTTTTCCAAGTGAGATATCTGCTGCTTCTTAGGTATTAGTGCTACCCCAAGTGCGGATTAACATCTGAGAGCTCTGTCTCTGTTCCTCTATGGGCCTCCCAGTATAGCCAAAGCAGCTGCAACTTCAGCCCCAATAGCTGTTCTTGCCAGCAGAGCCTCCCGCTGCGCGGGCTGGTGGCTCCCATCCGTCTGGTCCGAGCCATAGGCTCCCCGTCCAGCTCTGCTACAGTTCCCACAGCCAGGATCATCTCCATCTACTGAAGTTGTCAGTATTTCCTCGCTGGAGTATCTAAAAAGTGCTACACTGTATGCATTTGTGTGTATGCGTGTCTCTGTGTCAGAAGAGTTCTCCTACAGAAAGATGCTGTAATGTATCACTTATATGTTGGTTTTCATGTATAAATGTATCATGCGTCTAATTATAACTGGGTGAAATGAAGACACTAAGAAGTTGCCACTCTTCTCCTTAATTGATTTAAACTAAAATTTCTAAATTTCTGAAGGAAAAGAAATTTCAGGGAATCAAGACACTGAAAAATTTTCAAGAAGAAACTGTGAGAATTTCCAACTCTGGAGTAAATTATAAATACAGAAAAACATGTTGGGAGAGGAAATACGGCACTTTCTGGGAATAAGAAGGATGCTGAAAAAAACACCTGCTCTTCTAGTTGGTATGCTGAGTATTTATCTTAATTTCTTCTTCCAAGTGTCAAACCATTTCATTACAAAACAAACAAGAGATTCTAATCTAGAAAATGAGATGACTCAATCACTAGAAAGCAGCTGTTCTAAATTATTTTAAAATAATCTATTTTAAAGACAAGTCATGTCATATACTACTTCTGTATTCAAAAAAAAAAAAAAAAAGAAACAATCATATTAATTTAAACATTTAAAAACCTAGACAGAAAACAAACAAGAAAATACTCAAAAATATATTTAAGAATTTCACTCTGATTGAAAATATTGAAAATATTTGTTTTTATTCTGATGCTAAATAAATGCAAATACAAAGAAGAGGAAGCTTCTCACAAGACTGAAACTCTATGTTTTTAAACCAGTTTCCTGGTTATCTCCTGCAGAGCAGTGTCCTGGGTTTGAGTGAGTGGCGGGGTTTTTGGTAGCTGGGGAGGGGGCTACAGCAGTGGTGCCTGTGAGAAGCTTCTTGAAGCTCCCCCGGCTCCAAGTCGGACCCACCTCTGCACCAAGGCCGAGTCAATCAGCTGCCTCTGCAATAACGTATTTAAGAAGGGACGCGGTGAGGAGGAGTCAGACTTGTGAGTAGGAGTTGTGACATCTGTGTGAACACCAAGGTCAGTGGAGGAATGGAGGAGGAAAGGGGGGGAAGGTGAGCTGGAGCTGTTTCCTGTGGTGAATCAGCAGGGCCACCCCCCAACACGATCCATGGAGGTCTACAGGGGAGCAGATGCTGATCTGTGGTCTGTAGGGGTCCTCGCACTGTCTCAGGTGATGGTGCCCAAAGGAGGCCAGGACCCCGTGGGAAGAAGCAGCCCCCGCTGTTGTAGTCCAGCACTGAGAGGACTGTGACATGCTGGGGTGTCCCACGCCGGAGCAGCGTGGGGAACGCTGTGGCCTGTGGGAGGGACTGAAGTTGGAGAAAGTTTGTGGAGGACTGCCTCCTGTAAGCAAGGGACCACACTGGAACAGGGGGAAGAAGTACCAGAAATTCCCCCTCCCTGAAGATGGAAAAGCGGCAGCATTGACTGGACCCCCCAGTTCCCTGCCCCCACACCCCTGCGGGGAGGAGGTAGAGATATTGTGAGTAAAGCTGAGCGGGGAAGAAGGGAGGGGTGGGGGGAAGGTGTTCTCAAGGTGTGATAATGCTTCTCACTATCCTACCCTGCCTGTTAAATGGTGGTGGTGTTAATGCCTGTATTAAATTAATGTTCTTTTTTTCCTTCCACTAACGAGTCTGTCTTTTGCCCGTGACCAAATGGGAGATTCATCCCTCC